GTCAAGCAGGTTGGCTCCTGTGAAATGAACCTTTCCTTACTTGCACTTTCACCGAACCCTGCTCCTGGCAACTATGTATATCAGCCTCAATATTTTGCAGCAACTGATCACTGGTGATTAGTCATGTAGTGAGCGGGCGATCACACAGATTTGACCATCGCTGACTCGCGCAATGCTTCTAAATTTTCTTATTTGCAGTGATCAGAAAGTGTAGTGTCTAGAGATACGCTGATATTTTACATGATTAAAAAATTCGTTATTCTAGGAACATAAGTTATTATAAGACATTTTAACAATCCGCATTCTGGTACTCTTTCAGAGAGTACCAAGTATTTTGATAGAGATAAATCATTCATTGCATTGATTCTATCATTGCGCCCATGCTTCTATGGACGGCAGCTAATGAGTCGTTGCCCACTCTCGCCTCTTGTTCTTCGGCGTCAGAGTTGTGGGTACAAGCCTGAGGGCTTCAAGGCCTCGCCAGTTCCCTGACGCGATCTGTTTTACGCATCGCTTACGTTCTTTTGTGTGTACGCTGTTCAAGATCATTTCTACGTAGCTAGTCTTTTGATCAGTCTTGATTTAGATTCAAATTATTTTATGTCTCAGCTGTACCTGCGTCGGAGTAATATGTACCTGCGTCGGAGCTCGTCTTCTACTTTGCCATCGCTATTTTAAGTCTTTAAACCTAAGAATGTACAGTTCTATTTAGCATTATATTTCTGTTGTGTATATTTGTTCGTGAGCATTGGTCATTGACCGAGATGAAAATCTCACAATTTTCACTCAAATTGAGTGTATTGTAACGATAATGTGACGGACTGACGGACATTAGTATGATTAGTGTTCTCTAATCCGTACTAAATTACTGCACAATGTGTAATGAAATAAGGCGAGTGTCTCTGTTTCCCAACGTCAACTCTCACTCTCTTTCGCTTCCTGCCAGCAATCTCATTTCAATCTAACTTCCCGTGACAAGGCAGCGAACACAATACTCTGTTAGTAGATCTCTTTCCTGCACGTATGGCATGTCATATCTCGTAACAATGTGGCCTTACGTACGCGCAGCATGCCATGCTATCGAGCGTTCAAGAAAGAGTGCACACGTCCTATTCGACTTACATCCTTTGATTTGTAGACGCCCTGCAAACTCGTACAGAATGATATACCCGAGCGCGGTAGAAAGTACTTTTTTATCTAACAGTATTTCGAGGGTTACATCATCGGCGCTCATGAGAATTTTGTATGATAGCAAACTGCCAATCCCTTACATTATTGAATGTATTCATATCACTGAGTAAATTTTCCTGCTCTTCAATTGTATTTTTTTTATTTAAATCATAGGTGAATTAGTGTTTCTTTTTTTATATATCCTACGAATATATATCCTATATAATTTTATATCCTATGAATACTAATCAGCAAAGTACCAAATCGGCTTGGCCAAGAAAAAAAACAATAAAAATAGTATTTTATTAACAATAATTGCTCAATTTAAGTTTCACCTCTTGAGTTGTGATTGATAAAAAAATTGTACACATCTTATCGGCATAAAAAATATTATTGTGGTGTACAATAGCTTCGACTGATGTTTAATGATCTGCGTTAGGATAAAAATTATTGAATAAATTAAAAACAAATTACTGCTACTATTCAATTCATCGTTGGGAGTAAAAAATCTTTCTTAATTAATCTTGTAATCCGGCCTATGTAAAGCCGACTGCCATAACTCGAGCTCCTCCAAGCGTCACTTTCACTGACTACGCTGATGACCTAGGAAAGCGTTATCTTGCAAGTGCCTTGACTCGCTGCATTACTTTATGCCGCGTGTCTCCGTAAGGTTACAGCCAACCAGTTTCAAGCGCGCGGATCAGAGTAGTTAAAACGAAAGTTTGGCGGAATAGCGCTCGTTATAACGTAATGTAACCACGCTGCTTGACGTGAGCGTCTGCACAGTTTAGTTATTCAACTTTCGAGCGTTGTTTAATAATCCGATATGCTCTTAGAAGATATTTCCGTAATATGTAACAACTAGAAAATAAATAAAGCTGAAATTCTTACTAATTCACGCTGAAGTAAGATTTAATTATCAATTGTAAAGACTGAACCATAAGCTGGCACCTCACCAATCCATTCCATCAAATGATTAAATTTTTTCTTAAATCCTGAGCTTTCCGCTGACCATCTGATACAGAAACTTAAGAAAGTACACCATCCACAATAAAGCAATATGTTAAAATTTTTGTAATCAATAATTTAAATTTGAGGAAAAGCCGTCTCAGTTGTTACAACTAAGCAAGAAAATATCTTCAAGTGCTGTGCGCACGCAAATCTAAAATCACGACAGCGCATAAAGCGCATTTCGTTTGATGTACACGTTGGAATAATAATATTTTTCGAGTCTATTTAATCTCTTGCCTTCTACGTATGAGACATTTTTGAGATTTATATTACACGGATTATTTTATTAGGACACATACGACGCCATTGGCGTAACAGGCAATTATGACTCAAATAAAGCGCTTTGTTGTGGATAAAGTAATAAGAGTGGAATATCCAGCGAGTTGACATTTTGTACCCAACTTTTGGAACCGCTATAAATCCTCATTCCCTGATATTGAACATTTAATTCATTCCGCTAAACATAATATTTCACTGTTCACTTGAATACTTATTTTTTCGCTTCTATTACTTGTAATTATTTCCTTCTTTCTAAACGAACGGCCAACATAATCTGCTCAGCAATCGTGACTCGTCGGCTCGCATCCTAGTGCATTAACCACTCAGCTTCGTCGCTCTGAGAAGGAAATAATTGGTGCAAGGGCTTCCACATGGCGTGAGCCGCTCACAATAGCGAATGCTGGTGCATATATGGAAATATTTCACGTCATGCGATACAAGTCTCGTCGTAAAGGGCAATCTAGCACATGTATGAATTCGAGTAATGAACAAGGTAGCAAGTAAGAATATATTTATTTTCACTATTCAATGAAATATGGGACATCCGAATTTGTATTCGGATCTCGGTTTACTTCTGAGATCTTACTGAAATTTATTTGAATTTGGCTTTTAGTTTGAAATTTATTTCGTAAAAGTAAACTTTGACAGTGAGAATAAGTAGTTATAAAATATGTAGTTTATGTTAATAGTGAAATTTTTAAACCTTACTCGCTCATAAAGATACTCATTTCACTAATCATAAATTTAAAATATAATGTTATAATAAAACAAAAATGTATGTACAAATTATGAGAAAGCTGCCAAACCGTATAAAATTTTAATTATCAATTTGGAGACTGAACCATATATAAGCAGGCACTTCAGTAATCCATTCCTTCAAGAGATAAAATTTTTTCTTAAATCCTGAGCTTTCCGCTGACCATCTGATACAGAAACTTAAGAAAGTACACCATCCACAATAAAGCAATATGTTAAAATTTTTGTAATCAATAATTTAAATTTGAGGAAAAGCCGTCTCAGTTGTTACAACTAAGCAAGAAAATATCTTCAAGTGCTGTGCGCACGCAAATCTAAAATCACGACAGCGCATAAAGCGCATTTCGTTTGATGTACACGTTGGAATAATAATATTTTTCGAGTCTATTTAATCTCTTGCCTTCTACGTATGAGACATTTTTGAGATTTATATTACACGGATTATTTTATTAGGACACATACGACGCCATTGGCGTAGCAGGTAATTATGACTCAAAAGCGCTTCGTTGTAGATAAAGTAATAAGAGTGTAACATCCTGCGAGTTGACATTTTGTACCCAACTTTGGGAACCGCTTTAAATCCTCATTCCCTGATATTGAACATTTAATTCATTCCGCTAAACATAATATTTCACTGTTCACTTGAATACTTATTTTTTCGCTTCTATTACTTGTAATTATTTCCTTCTTTCTAAACGACATCCCAACATAATGAGTCGTTAATATTCAGAAGCTGCTCATCAATCGTGACTCGTCGCTCGCATCCTAGTGCATTAACCACTCAGCTTCGTCGCTCTGAGAAGGAAATAATTGGTGCAAGGGCTTCCACATGGCGTGAGCCGCTCACAATAGCGAATGCTGGTGCATATAACGAAACATTTCACGTCATGCGATGTGAGTCTCGTCGTAAAGGGCAATCTAGCACATGTATGAATTCGAGTAATGAACAAGGTAGCAAGTAAGAATATATTTATTTTCACTATTCAATGAAATATGGGACATCCGAATTTGTATTCGGATCTCGGTTTACTTCTGAGATCTTACTGAAATTTATTTGAATTTGGCTTTTAGTTTGAAATTTATTTCGTAATATTAAACTTTGACAGTGAGAATAAGTAGTTATAAAATATGTAGTTTATGTTAATAGTGAAATTTTTAAACCTTACTCGCTCATAAAGATACTCATTTCACTAATCATAAATTTAAAATATAATGTCATAATGAAACAACAATTTAGTACAAATTATGAGAAAGCTGCCAAACCGTATAAAAAAGAAAACTCTTGAATTTCTAGAAGTAAATTCTGAGATCAATCGTTGAACAATTCGTTCAAACAATTTTAAATATTAATCCGACTACCATGCTTGCAGAATTCATTTTATTCACACAAGAATTTCCGAAACAATACATGGATTTTGATATAGTTAACGACTTTCCTTAAGCCTGGCGAGTTCATGAGTGCAAAACAAAGCTGGTCCAGAAAACTGGAGCACATGGCGAACCTCCAAAACATTAGCATTCCGAGGTGGTATATTGTGCTTTGTTGTCATGAGAATGACTCGTCTTATTCTTATGCTGTGAATGAGAAATGTTTGTCTTCCGTTACATGTGAAAGATTTAGTTCATTAGCCTTAAAATTAGTTCATTGACACGATTCGAGTCTGAGATTTTGTTTAAAAAATCTGAATTCGTATAATTATTTTTACGTAAAATTACACAATGCATTTGAAATGTTTAGCCATTAAATTCATTTACAAAAAATAGCAGTTAAAGTATTCACATACCTTCAGCATGATGGTTGAACGAACCCAAGTCGGGTTTTCGCACTTATCACTTATTCCTTCGTTAATCGTAGTTCGAGCGTATAACACCGAATTTCAGCCACTCGGCTTCACTGTCTTACACTCTTAAAATCACTCGGTCTCTCGATTTTGTGACACCAATCAATCCATATCTTCACTTTCGTCAGCGTCACATATCGTTTATTAAAGTCGATTCACACAAGATAGTTCCTAGTTCGATGAAGAGGAGAGGCAACCACGAGGGTGCCGTGCTGAAGACTAAAGTTGAAGATGCGAATATCTCGAAGAAGAAGTTTCATAGACGTGCGTTAGAAATGGCTTCCAGGCACCAAGTGATGATGACTCTGGACAGACACACACGATGCTCATGTGTCGCTTGCCCGCTTCATACAATCGCGCGGCTGCCGATCTCTCCGGCTTATATAGCTGCCAGCGTCGCAGGCTGACGGTTACCCTGACTCACTGAGGCAGAGGGTCGCTCGCTTGATCTTGGGCTCTCAGGAACCTCATCGACGCTACTAGGATGCCAAAGCTAATGGCTTGCGTAGGATGGTTCATTTCTTCCTTCGTGCTACTTCCAAGGGTCTTTCTCTTCCTAATCGTAAATAGTAGGACCGACATACCCTTCTCTTGCAGGCCATGCGTATGCGAGACGCTCACATACTAAATGTGATTAAATTCTCACACTGAAACCTTCGTTTGATCTCAGCAATGAAGTGCAAGAACCACAATATTAATTATAGGAAAATACAATAATAACATGGTTCTTAAAAATAATATAAATAATAATAATTATATTATTAATTTTAATGGTAATGATAATAATAATAATTACAGTAACCAATAAATAATAATAAAACAATAATGATAACAAACAAAAACGTTAGAAATTTTCATTTACTATCATAGTTTCGTTAGCGAGTCCTTCATATTTAAGCTAAAAATAATCAAGTTAGGAACAATGCTCCCTATCTGTTATATAACTTTCCTATTGCCATCAACACAAACTCTAGTGTCAGAGATGCACTTTCACTCACAGGCTTAATTGACAAGTCTTTTGTTTACGAAGCTCGAGGCAAATTCTGACAAAGTTTTCCGTCTCGTGTGATAAGCTCTGCATCCAAGAAATTTCCAATGCATTGAAAGTATGTTGTGTTCTACCGACACCTCAGAGTCTCTAGCTACATTGAGGAGGACAAGGTGAAAGATCTGAAGATGTTCGGCATGGATGTTGGATGCGCGCAGAGTTGCGTCCAACTTACAAACTAAGTGATAAATCATAACGATAATTTAGTTGTACTGGACTGTGTTTAGTTTTTGTTTACGACGAAACCTAACGAGAAAAATTCATAATTCATTTATTAATGTAATGTAATGTAATGTTTACTTGTCAAAAATTCACTTGATTATTTCTGAACCGGTAAAATTCAATGACTTTTATTTTATTTATCCAAATTATTCCAAATTACATTCAAATAATTTCTTTGCGAAACGATTATCTGCACCAGTTAATTTACACTTCTTCAAGACCGCGACTAGGATATGTTAAAATATGTGATTCTTAGAAAATTGATCGAAAAAAAAAACGTTTCAAGGTTAGCATAGTTTTTTAAAAATTAGCTTATATGATTTGCCTGCACTTATCTGTTAAAAATCTCACTCGGAATGAGATTTGTGAATTCTGATCAACGATAGAAACAGACAACCTTGAATTGAAATTTGAATTGATTATGCGAGAAATGCTCCTAAAGTGGCATTTTTTATACCCAAATATCCCTGTTGAACGAGTTTACATGCTGTTCTCATAAAAATTTTATAGCTAAAATACTTATAATGACAATACAACAGTTCATAAAATCTTCGAATCACAGAAATAATCATTTTTGCTCTACCTGATCATCGAAATTCTAATCTGTGTGGTGCTGGTAGGCTTTACTGAAAGCTTAATACTCTTGCCAGTATTTCTGAAATCCGTAAATGTATTTTTTATCTATGCACTTTTATCCAGTTGTAATTTTCGATTGTTACAAATATCTTTCTTGGCTGGTAATTCCTCAGTACGAAACCTCTATGATCCTGGTTAATTATAAAAATCCTGGTTAAATATAAAATTCCTATCAACAATATATTATTCGATTGTTGAATCGAATTCCAAGCCGCAATGAATTTTCTGATGCTGAATCCAATAATATCATTTGCCTTATAGGAGACAATTAAGCAAAATTCTCGTTTGTAATGATTAGAACTATCAAATAAAATTGAAGGTAGAATTTTGCTATTGGATTTTTCTCATGTACTCCTGCTTATCTTCAATGAAAGAATGACAAATTCGCTAGCACAAATTCATACCTGAGCATTATTGCTTTTCCCACCTCTCATGCTCGATATGTATAGTTCAGTACAGCATACAGGGGCATCTGAAAGCAGAAGATGATACCTTCACGGATATAGCAGGCGTCCTTGCCAGGAATGGGTACAATCCTTTCTCTCGTGTGCCTAATACGAGCAAGCACATAAGTTCATTGGACACTTTCTTTGCAGATAATAAGTTTAGCCTTAGGAACAAACCCTGATCAGCTGACGAAGTTACCGACAATGGCGGAAATTTTGGGCAAAAACGCGTTGCCGCCCAACCCATGTAAAGGACGCACTTTTTAACGACATGCAGCAAAACAATCCTCTGTTTGATGAGTTTTTCCTATTGAGGAGAAGGTGGCAAGTTTTGTTTGATTTTAATTATTGTCACGGGACATGTGGCTATATTGCATTTTATTGCGGTGTCACAAGCGCGTAATTCACATGCTGTTAATAATTCGCCAGAGGTATGCTTTATGTGTTCATTAGCATAAATTATTTGTCTGAATAGTAGAAGAATGCCATTAAATAAATTTTTTCACTTTGTAGATGAAATCACAAAGCGATTTATATTTATTTCATTCTTAGTTCTTGCTTGCATTTCTTGTCCAGGCATGCACTTCTTATGCACACTATTTCCATACAAACGAAAACCTGTTACTGATAGATGTGTTTTTTTGCATGTGCTGACTCACTCTCATATTAAATAAGTTATTTTGACGAACTGCTTTTACAACCTCCGCTTTTGAGTACCTACCTGTAAACGTGGTAGCATTTCACACTCATCCCGCGATCGAGGTTACCCGTGCAATATCGATAACTGAAGAGTTGCTATCAAATCTAACAAAACAAATTCGTGGCCAAGAAAAGCCATTTTAATGGCGAGCGACTTATTTTTTGTGTCGGCGTATGCCACTTAAACTTCAGAAGCAAAAATTTATCTTCTGAGTGTTTTTCGAGGTCGAATAATAATGATTTCTATAAATTACTTATACCTTCTGCAGCTTCAAGCAGCGGATTGAGTATCGAAGCAATAATTAGAAATTCTTTCGTTAATTACGTTCTATTTTTCTGCACAGATAATTCGTTTAATCATCTGTAACTCTAGATTCAAAAGATAATAAAATGAATAAATGACGCAAAAAACATACAACACATGAGTGGACCTTTTTCCGACCTATGACTGGATCGGAAAATAAAGTAGGGATGGAGTTCAAGACAGCTGAAGGAGCACACCGTTAAAGCAACGGACTAGGTTTCATTTCTCATAAATTATAACGTAGTTCTAACGGTTTCTCTTCAATAAACCAGATAGCTCTACAGAATCAGAAAGAAAGGGGAATTCGATGTTCATTTATTCATTTCTGAATGAATACTTTTTCGCGGATTTCTTTCTAATGGAGGAAGTTGTCATTCATATCTGATAAAGTATGTTGTATTGCACTAATTTATTCTTTTCAAATTCATTAGTAAGTTGTAATTAAAGTAAAATATTAAGGAGCAAAGTTAAAATCGTATAGTTTTCTTGAACTCTGCAAGTTCAATAAGGATTATATGAACGACAAACCACCTTCTATCAGATAACACTACGCCTCGTGCATTGTCCTGCCCAAAGAAATGAACAGCGCGACGAACTCTGGTCGTAGAAGTGCAAACTTTCCCGGCCGCTCGCTCCGGTTATGCAAGGTGAGAGGACAGAAGCAGGGGAGCATGACCGAAATGGTTGTCGGCAAAGGTCGTCCCGTCATGTTATCAGACCCAAACTATTCTTATAACGTCCCCGGAATTAATTCCCGCACCCAAACTTTGATATTAGTTTATGTACCTTACCCATCAGGTAGAATCTATGATTTGATAGACTTTTGCTCGCCGAAATATGGAACCATTTGGCATCTACATTATTGCTGTCAAAATTAGATGATGCGATTGTGCGCACATTTTTTTAATGCTGATTCCATGATGGCTAGCACTTTCCTCTCATACGCATATATTTTTTTGTCTTATTATTGAAAGTTGAAGCTTGCATCAGCTGAATGCATTGCCGCAAATTTTCAATACAAATTTATGCTAGCTCAGGTCTTTACCGGCTTTCGAATATCAAATCCGCGTGATGAACTCTCTGAAGACTCCATAAGCCACTGAACAAGCTCCAATCAAATGTCACCACGTCTTACAAAGCGTCCCGTACATTGCATTTGTCTGCGTTTAGTCATATCTTTTCTTAATGGACGTGCTTTTTCATGCTCACGCACTCATTCATAGCCCACAAGATAGATGGATGAATGGATGAATCTTGCCAGACGCATGTGATAGCTGCAACAATCCACCCTCCTCCATCTTTCCCACCCCTCCATCTCTCGCTCACCGAATACGTTGGACAACAGTGAAAGGATCAGTCTGAAATGTGCGCTTTCCCTTTACCTATTTCACTGAAATAGTTGTTCTCTGGGGACCTCATGATAACCATAATTGACTATCGAAACATTCAGTCTTCATCCCGCGATCACTTTTTCTCGTGAAGATTCCCGGATGAGACGTTGAACACGAAATTGGGTCGCACAAGGTTGAAGTGAAAGGATGTCCGCCCGTTCATCGGTCGCTCGGCAGGCCGAGACCCGCAAGCTTGGTAGGCAGGTATGTGTCCTGCTGCAGTATTACTCAATGTCTATAACTCAACGCCTTTAGGCTCACAGTCGGTCTTCCTTTCTCTTCCCAGCCTCTCCCAGTGTATTGGTTGGTCGGGTAGACTGGCCTCTGGCTGTGTGCACGCGCTCAGCCTAAAATCCATGTCGAGGTTTACGAACGTACGAACACGATCTAACATACTATCCTAGTTCATCTATTTAATTTGTACAGATTATTCGACCATTAATTTACTTTTGAATAGGCTTCCATACCAGTAACGGTTCATCCACACATTTTAGAGCAATTTTTATCCCGCATAGAAGAGTTGATCGCTTAATATATCCTAGTCAGACTTCAACACGACGATACTCTTTTCATGGTTTGTAGATCAAAAACCATGC